TCTGTCTCTTAATGGTTTGAATAAAGCACTGTTGGCCAATAGGGAAGCAAGATAGGTGGGACTAGGAATCAAGAAGGACATCTAAAACTGCTGAGATGATGCAGCCTTATGAGCTACAAACACAAGGACTTTGGCCAGGTTTCTGAGTTTTGTCATGATCCCCATGGTATGGACAGCTCTTCCTGGATGCCCCAACGTTACAGAGGAACTTCTGGTGACTGTCCAGGTAGCGAGATGTCTCTGTCAATTCTAGTGTTTATATATTATCCTTCTGTGGTCTTTGACTGAGTTGAAGACAGATAGCTGTAGTTATAGTTTTCTTTAGTTTTGATAAAAGATAAGCTAAATATAAGACTTTAGAGTCACAAAGATAGGCTAGACGATATTTTCATTAAAACTTACTAAATGTTAATGGACTAACTATTGTAACTATAGTTCTTGCTTGATAACTTGTTCTGTTATATATAATTTGACTATGTTGAAGTTAAAACCTTTTTTTATTTAGACAGAAGAGATGATGGGAGATGTCATTCTGTAAATCTGTCTCTTATTGGTTGTTGAATAAAGCACTGTTGGCCAATAGGGAAGCAAGATAGGTGGGACTAGGAGTCAAGGAGGATTCTGGGACAGAGAGAGGGAGACACCATGTAGCCCACCAGAGGAGTAAGAGGTCCAGACCCTTTTCTCCGATAAGAGAAATACTTAGATTAACAATTATGGGTTAAATACTTAAGTCAGAGCTAGCTAGTAAGAAACAGGCCAACAGCTTCATAATTAATCTAGTGTCCTGTGTGTTATTTGGGGACTGCAACTGTGGCAGGGCCCAAGTGGATGGCAGGGAAGGCAACACTCTACAGACAATTCTCAACTTTATATGGAAAAACAAAAGATCCAGGATAGCCAAAACAACCCTGTACAATAAAGGAACTTCCAGAGGCATCACCATCCCTGACTTCAAACTGTATAATAGAGCTATAGTCCTGAAAACAGCTTGGTATTGGCACAAAACAGACAGGTAGACCAATGGAATCAAATCAAAGACACTGATATCAACCCACACACCTTTGAACACCTGATCTTTGACAAAGAAGCTAAAACTATACAATGGAAAAAAGAAAGCATCTTCAACAAATGGTGCTGGAGTAACTGGATGCTGGCATGTAAAAAGACAGCAGATAGATCCATATCTATCACCATGCACAAAACTTAAGTCCAAATAGATCAATGACCTCAACATCAATCCAGCCACACTGAACGTCTTGGAAGAGAAGGTGGGAAGTACCCTTAAACGAATTAGTACAGGAGACCGCTTCCTGAACATAACACCAGTAGCACAGACTCTGAGATTGACAATTAATAAATGGGAACTCCTGAAACTGAGAAAGTCAAAGGATACAGTCAATAAGATGAAATGACAGCCCATAGAATGGGAAAAGATATTCACCAACCCCACATTTGACAGAGGGCTGATCTAAAAAATTTACAAAGAACTCAAGAAGAAAGTTTCCAAAATACCAAAGGATCCAATTAAAAAGTGGGGTACAGAACTAAATAGAGAATTCTCAATAGAGGAGTCTAAAATGGCTGAGAGACACTTGAGAAAATGCTCAGCATCCTTAGCCATCAGGGAATTGCAAATCAAAACAATTCTGAGATACCATCTCTCTCCTGTCAGAATGGCTAAAATCAAAACCACTAATGACAGTTTATGTTGGAGAGGATGTGGAGAGAGGGTGGTAGGAATGTCAACTTGCCCAGCCACTGTGGAGATCGGTATGGAGATTTCCTCAGGAAAATGGAAGTCAGCATAACATAAGATTCAGCAACTCTACTCTTAGGCAAATACCCAAATGATGTACACTCATACAATAAGGACATCTGCTTAACTATGTTCATAGCACCATTATTTGTAATAGCCAGAACCTGGAAGCAACCTAGGTACCCCTCAGCTGAAGAGTGGATAGAGAAAATGTGGTACACAGTGGAGTACTACTCAGCAGAAAAAAAGTGGAATCTTGAAATTTGCTGGCAAATGGATGGCATTAGAAGAAACCATCTTGACTGAGGTAACCCAGTCACAAAAAGACAAACATGGTATGTACTCACTCATATATGGATTTTTAGACATGGAGCAGGGGATTGCTAGCCTACAATCCCACCGCCAGCGAGTCTAAGAAGCAGGGAGGACCCTAAGAGAAATATGCATGGTAACCCAGAGAAGGGTTATGGGAAGAGATCTCCTAATTGGATTGGGAGCCGGGGAGAGGAAAGGGGAGGGGAGAGGGAGATGGGAGAAAGAGAGGTTGGAATGTAAAATGAAACTTAAATTTAAAAAAAGAAGAGAGCTATAGGAGAGAAAGGTAACTCAGGGTCTAGAGACAGCTCAGTGGTAATCTACTTTCTACCATATTTAAGGCCCCGAGTTCCATTCCCAGCACTGGAGGTAGCAGAAAGATAATCCAGGTCCTAGATTTCCTTTCCACTCCACAGCAAATTGCACAGATAGCAAGTTTACAGTGGAGCGGAGAGGAAATCATGACAATAAAAGATGGTGACAAGATATTTTCTGCTTCAATGCAGGCAAGCATTCAGATAATCTGTATTATCAAAATCTAAGAATTATTACTGAGTCAGAGTTATGACAATCAGAGGACAAAGATTTAATACAAATTGACTAGTAGATCTGGGGACTGCAAGGGAAAAGAACAAGGGTTTCCAGTGATTCACAAAACAAAAACAAACATCTCATCCTTGGAAAGAGACAGTTTTGTCCTAGAAAATAACTGGAGAAGCAGCAAGCTTATACGACTAAGCAACAGAAAAGATCTGGTCCTTCCTAGGCCTGGAACAGAGTAGGACTATATGAAATGAAATAGTATCATGAAAAACATCCAAAAAGCACTCATCCAATATAATATTCTTGTAACTCACCCACTTGAAGCATAAATATCAATCGTAAGTAAAATAAATGAAAAATGTTTTTTTACCAAGTGTTGGGAATTATACCTCAAATTAACACTATTAATTTACTCTATTCTTTTTTGTTGTGTTTGGTTTCTTACACAGGTTCTCATGTGGCCTAAATAGACCTTGGACATGCTATATCACTGAGGGTATGTACTGGGAACTGAATGCAGGGCTTTGAGTGTGCTAGCTTTTTCTTTGGGACAGGATGACTCAGGCTAGCCTACAACTCATGATCTTCCACTTCACCCTCCCAAATGCTGGAACTACGGCTGTGTAACCACCATCCCTAGATGTTGTTCATCATCACATTTTGTAAGAATACAAGTGTCGCCAGGCGGTGGTGGCGCACGCCTTTAATCCCAGCACTCGGGAGGCAGAGGCAGGCAGATCTCTGTGAGTTCAAGGCCGAGCTGGACCGACAGCCTCCAAAACAATACAGAGAAACCCTGTCTCGTAAAAAAAAAAAAAAAAAAAAAAAAAAAAAAAGAATACAAGTGTCCTTCAGTTTATATATCCAATAAGATCATTGTAAATTTAAATTTTCATGAATAAAAAAATTCATGCAGCCTGGCATTGATGGTGCACACCTTTAATCCCAGGATTCGGGAGGCAGAGGCAGCTGGATCTCGGTGAGTTCAAGAATAGTCTGGTCTACAGAGCAAGCTCCAGGACAGCCTCCAAAACAATACAGAGAAACCCTGTCTCGAAAAAAAAAAAAGAAAGAAAGAAAAATTCATGCAATCCATATAACCTTCTGAATATTACAGTTCAGCAGTATAGCACACTGTAGACTATCGACTGTTTACTCATATGATGGTGACTACATTATGAGAGAATACTGCCTATCACTGCTCCAGGACATAACCAAATTCAAAATTTAAAGCACAGTTACTACAGAATGCAGACTGATTTCACAATAACATAAAACCGGCAATTCCACAATCTGGAGCTTGAGAGATGGCTCAGTGGTGAAGCACATGCTTCACAATCCTGAGGACTGGAGTTTGGATCCCAGCACCCATATCACAAACAAGTAAATGCCTGTGACACCAGGTCTGATGGGTGCCAGAGAAAGGAAAAATGCTGGGGCTCACCAACTTCTAGCCAAGAAAATGCAAGCCCTAGGTTCAGGGACAGTCCCTGCCTGTTTCACAAGAGTCAGCAGAGACTAGTACAGGGGAACACCCGATGCCCTCTTCTGGCCTCTGCATGCATACAACTACACACATTCACATGCACATACACTCAGACACATAAATAAATAAATAGATAAATAAGCAAACACATTCATAAGTCAAACCATCATATGTTTTCATTGTGGCTTTGAAAAGTGAAGTCTCTTGTCTGTGGTTAATAAGTATGACTTCATAATCATTCCAAATAGATACCCCAGTGATATAAAATCACTGAGGACATTCTGTTTCACACGCTAAAACTATCACTTATGCATCAGCAGTAAAAAGCAGAAAAAACACCTGTGAAGCCCTGGGTTTGATGTCCAGGAACAGACACACACACACACCATCCCAGTGTAACGTACACTGACACGTTTCTGACCAGCACCCCTCAACACTACACAAACAGCTTGTGATGGCCAGTGCTAACTGACAACTGACAGGATCTAGAATCACCTAGGAGACACATCTCTGGGCATGAGTGTGGGAGTCTCTAAATTAGCTTAAATTTTGGCTTTTTTGTTTTTGTTTTTTTGAGACAAGGTCTTCTCGTATAGCCCTGGCTACCCTGGAACTCTCTCCATAGACCAGGCTGGTCTCAAACTCATAGAAATTCACCAGCCTCTATCTCCCAAGTCCTGGTAAAGGTGTGTGCCACCATGTTGGGCTTCCAGATCAGGTTAACTGGTGTGGGAAGACCCACCCTGACTGTGGGTAGCAACCATTCCACTGGCTGGATCCCAAATAGACTGAAACAAAGAAAGTGAACTGAGCATTTCTTGATTGTTGACCACAAATGTCATGTGACAGCTGACTCAAGCTCCTGCCACTGTGACTTCCTGTCATAATAGACTGTACCTTCCAAGTGTGAGCCACAGCGAAGTTTCTGTCGTGTATTTTCTTATCGTCATAAGAAAAAAGGAAAAAAAAAAAAGAAAAGTAACTAACATACAATTTCCTAAGCCCCACTCTCCAAAACTCAGCAGCAATTCTGTCACATAAGAGAAACATATTCTCTCTCTCTCTCTCTCTCTCTCTCTCTCTCTCTCTCTCTCTCTCTCTCTCTCTCTCTCTCTCTCTCTCTCTCTGTCATGTTTTTGTTTTTGAGACAGAGTTTTTCTGTGTAGCCCTGGTTGTCCTGAAATGAACTCTGTAGATCAGGCTGGCTTCAAACTCAGAGATTGGCCTGCCTCTGCCACCCGAGTGCTGGGATCAAAGGATTATACCACCCCCACCCAGAAAGAAACATTCATTCTTAAAACTCCTGTTATTGCCGGGTGGTGGTGGCGGTGGCGGCGCACGCCTTTAATCCCAGCACTCAGGAGGCAGAGGCAGGCGGGTCTCTGTGAGTTCGAGGCCGGGCTGGACCGACAGCCTCCAAAACAATACAGAGAAACCCTGTCTCATAAAACCCAAAAACAAAACAAAAAACAAACAAACAAACAAACTCCTGTTATCCAGAAGTCACCATCTAACTTCAACTGCAGTTACTATAGTTATTAGAGTATCATTACACAGCCAGTTTTAGAGGAATACTGTATACATCTACTCAAAACCACGACATTGTTGCACAGTCAGATGAGGAAGCTTACAGCAGGACTTCTTACCCTTTCTGTTTTGTCTGCACAGAAGAGTCGTGTGTGATGTCTCTTTTGCACCACAATGTAGGTTATTCCTGGCCGATAGTCTTCTTCCAAGCTTATGCATGCCTTTCGAATTGCTATTAGCTCCGGCCAAGCTACCTAGGAGACAGAAGGGGAATTTTGTTCATGGAAGTTTCAGTTCTCAAGAGGCAGGCTGGAGGGTGCTTGTAGAGTCCTGGGAGGATGGCAATGGACTGATGGGAGCACCTGTTTCATCTGTCCCTCGGACACCCCTCCACGGTAGTAGATGATTCGAGTGGGCTTGAAGCGTGTGGACTTGTAGAATTGAATCAGTAGCTCCCGAGCCATGCTTGTCAGGTCCTGCACGACCTCCTGACTGTAGAGGAGCTCCTGGGCAATCTCTTGCCGAGATGTCTGCACCCGCACTGTGGCACAGTACCGGCTGGGATGGCCGTCCATGCTGCCCACCACGGCTGCAATAGACGGCTTCTTCCCGTCCCCAGCAGGTGGATGAGTGACATCTGCTCCGAGGAAGATGACAGGCTGCTGGAACACTGAGGGCCTGTCCAAATTTAAGAAGACAGTGTCACTCAAAACTTATGGGTACAAATCTGAGAGTTTAGAAAAGTATATCACCAAGATAACTGCAACCTTAGAAAAGAGGACCACACCCATTAGGAAAGAACACTAACCTTCCAAAACCCAACTCTCTGTAAGTTGTAAAATTTAAAGAAGAGAATCAAGTTCATTTTTTTTGTTTTATTTTATTATTTTTCTGTTTTGGTTTTTTGAGACAGGGTTTCTCTGTGTAGCACTGGCTGACTGGAACTCATTCTGGAGATCAGGCTGGACTTGAACTCACAGGGATTTATCAACCTCTGCCTCCCAAGTGCTGGAGTTAAAGGTGTGTACTACCACCACTTGGCTTCTGGTTTGTTTTTATACATAATATCTATCACTTATACCATATATTTTGCTTATTTATTTTTATTTGCACACACAGACCTATACAAATATAATCCTTACAAGAGTAGGAATTTTGTTATATCTTAGTCATTATCAGTACCTTGAACATTCCTTAGCTCATACTTGGCACTTGGTAAATATTTGTTGAAAATACAAATTCATCCAGTGTCACTGATTGATTCCTCTATCTAAGGAATCAAAGAAAAATATAAGTGCTTTTCTGGTAAAAGCTAGAAAAACAAAACCCTTGTATGGTGGTGTCTATAACTCAACACTCAACACAGGAGGTAGAAGCAGGAGGATAAGGAGTTGAAGATCATCTTTAGCTCTAGATACATGAAACCCAATCACAAAAAAAGGACATAATCCAGATATGATGGCATATACCCACAGTTCCTAATACTTACTTAGGCATGCAGATGTTGAGTTCTAGGCCAACCTGGTCTACATAAAAAGACCTTGTCTGAACACATAAACAAATGTTTTAAAAAGACATGAGAATAAAGAATGTACAAGGTCAAAGTCCAAGCCTAAGAATGTGTCCCAGGGGCTGGAGAGATGGCATGGCTCAGGGGTTAAGATAGTAGATGTTCTTCCAAAGCATCTGAGTTTATTTCCTAGCATCCACACAGGGCATCTCACAGCACCCATAAGCCCAGTTCCAAGGGGATCTGACATCTCTAGCCTCTGTGAGCACCTGTACTGGTGCCTTCATGTACATATGATGACACCCTCTGCACACATGTGTACATAACTTAAAAATATATAAGAAAAATAAGCTGATATCAAATCACAGGTACTAAGTCTCCAGGTCATCATATTATTTCAATCGAGTCCAGACTTTAGGTTAAATTCACCTGTGAACTACATGCCTCACTACCAATGTTTCAGGAAGAATTTCATTACCTAGACAGAACTTCCACTCAAAGACAAAGATGAAAATTGTGTGGAAGGCATTCAGCTTCTGTCCAATACACGAATAACCAAGGCTACAGACTATAGCCCTTAGTATAACTTTTCAAATAACTTTCACATCTAACATTCCATGTAAAAACAGTTTTTTGGAGTTGAAAAGGCATATGTTATTATCTTCATTGACAAGGAACTGAGGACTAGATATCTTAAAATTTCACATGGGCAGCAATACCCAAATCTTTCAATCCTCATCAGGACTCTGCTGACAATAGCACTATTTTCTTAGTGTTTGGTTACTCCAGAGCCAATCTGACAAGTCCAATTTTAAACAAAGCCTATCAGTTGGAGTAGAGAACTAAGTCTCGACAGGCAGTGATGGCACACGCCTTTAATCTCTGCAGAGGCCAGAGGATCTCTGTGAGTTCAAGACCAGCCTGGTCTACAGAGTGAGTTCCAGGATAGGCTCCAAAGTCACAGAGAAACCCTGTCTCAAAAGAACAAAAAAGAAAGGGAAGGAAGGAAGGAAGGAAGGAAGGAAGGAAGGAAGGAAGGAAGAAAAGGAGAAAAGTAGGAACTCAGTCTCATTATGAGTCTCTGAGGCCTGGGGATGTGGCTCAGGGGTAGAGGGCTGAAGTAGCTTGTTTGATAACCCACAGTAGCAACACAACAAAATATTCCTCAAAAGCCTCTATTTAGAGCTCTACATGGTGATTCCAGCACTCCGGAAGCAGAGGCAGGAGAATTACTACAAGTTTGAGGCCAGCCTGAGTCAGTGCAGTGAGTTTCAGACCAGATAGGGCTACATAGTAAGACCCTGTCTCAATAATAATAACAACAACAACAAAATAACAAAGCCATTATTTATCAGAGTAAAACACAGAATAGAAAACAGGGCTACAATATCCATTTATCAAGGACTTATATAATCAGAAACCACATAAAATTGTGACTGCAATTCAATGAAAAGTACTTGCAACCCAATATAAAAATGGACAAAGAAGTCATGTAAAGTGGTGTCTGTAGTTCTAGACTCAGGAGGTTAAAATGTGAGGACTGCTTAAGCCAGAAATTCAGGATTAGTCTGATCAAAAGACAGAAACTCCTCCTTCCAGCCCCTTCTTGCCTTCCTTCTCTTCCTCCCTCCCCCTTTCCTTTCCCTTTTGAGTGCTGGAGACCTTGTCCTTGTGTATGTGCATCAAGTGCTTATCACTGAGCTACAGAATCTCAGTCCCCCTCACTCCCCATCTCTCTAGATGTAGATATAGTAGCGCATGCCTGTAATCTCAGCTACTTATGAAGCAAGATCACTTAAGCAGGGTCTCACTATGTAGCCCTGGCTATCCTGGAACTCGCTATGTAGACCAGGCTGGCCTTGAATTTATACAGGTCTTCTGCCTCCCAAGTCCTCCAACTAAAGGTGTGCTCAACCATGGCTGGCAAGATTCATTTAATTGGATGTGTGTTTGTCTGCATAAGTTCACAGGTGCCACATGTGTGTAGTTAAACCTCAGAGGCTTCAGATTCATGGAACTAGAGCTGCAGACAGTTTTGAGCTTCCTAATGTAGGTGCCTGGAACTGAACTCGATTCCTTTGCAGGAACAGTAAGAGATCTTAACTACTGAGCCATCTCTCCAAACTACTGAGCCAAAGTCCTCCACTTTAAAATGAATCTAGACAATACAGAGCCTGTCTTAAATAGATATATAAATAAGTAACAAATCAGGAGGTAGAGGCTTAAGGTCATCTTCAGATAATTATTTCTAGACCAAACAAAACAAAAAGAAAAGACCCACAACAGAGAGACAGACAGACAACAAAGACAGACAGACTTTTAGATAAAAGGACTGAATTGGCTCCTTACAAAAGATGCCCCCAAATTATGCTAGAACACATTTATCATCATCAATCAGAGGAAAGCAAATTGAAATAATAATAAGATACTATTTCTTCTAATAAAAATGTATAAAATTAAAAATACTGTCAAGTGGTGCACGCCTTTAATCCCAGTACTTGGGAGGCAGAGGCAGGCAGATCTCTGTGAATTCGAGGCCAGCCTGGTCTACAGAACAAGTGCCAGGATAGGCTCCGATCCAAAGCTACACAGAGAAACGCTGTCTCAAAAACCAAAAAAAAAAAAAAAAAAAAAAAAAACTTGCCAAGTATTGGCAAAGATGTGGGATGACTAGACCTTTCAGAGGAAATATAAATTGGTACAGACAGGTTGGAAAAATACCTGACTGCATCTATTAAGGCTAAATGTATGTATTCTCTGTATTCTCTATAACTCTATTTTCTAGCAATTCCACCTGGAGTCCCACACAAGAGAAACAATGCTTACATCCATCAATACTGTAGAACTGTACAATGAATATATAATGTCCACCATAGGACAGAATTATGTGCTTTTATCTACATAATAAAATAATCCATAGCAGCCGGGCGTTGGTGGCACACGCCTTTAATCCCAGCACTCCAGAGGCAGAGGCAGGCGGATCTCTGTGAGTTCGAGGCCAGCCTGGTCTACAAAGTGAGTTCCAGGACAGCCTCCAAAGCTACAGAGAAACCCTGTCTCAAAAAACCAAAAAAAAATCCATAGCAATAAAAATTAATTAAATGCAACAATGTAAGTGAATCGCATAGATACAATGTTAAGAAAAGTTAGATAAGCCAGGTGTAGTGACCCATACCTTTAATCCAGTATTCAGGAGGTAGAGGCAGGTAGATGGGGGGGGTAGGTGAGAAAGAGAGAGAGAGAGAGAATGAATAGAGTTTACTGTACCAGTGATTCCATTTATATCTATACTGGCAGGGCAGAAGAGCAGTTTCTTTTCAGGTTATCTGTTTGTAGATAACTAGGGGTTTCACATAACAGAAAGCACTATGCCAGTAAGCTATAGTCCTGGCCCTGGGAGTTACCTATTTGAAGTAGGGAGAGAAAACCTAAGAAGAATCTTACTGGTGTTGGCTACATGGGTTTATACACACTTCATAAGAAGCAGTCATTGAGATGCATATTTGAGGTGTTTGGTTTATTAGTTTTGCACTGGTGGGAATGGAACCCAGGGCCTTGCATACACTACTAGGCAAGTGCTCTACCACTCAGGTACATCTCAGACCTTGGTTTTGTTTTGTTTTTGAGACAGGGTCTCAATGTATAGCTTTGGCTGGTTTGGAGCTCACTATGTAGATCAGGCTGGCCTGGAACTCATAGACACCAATTGGCCTGTTTCAGACTCCTGAGTGCTGGAATTAAAGTATGCACTACCATACCCAGCTAAATCCCTTTTTGTTTTGTTTTGAGACAAGGTCTCACTATATGGCCTAGACTGGCATGGACTTCACAATCCTCCTGCCTTATTTTCCCCAAGTAATAGTGTGTGCCACCATATCTGGCTAGAAGGTGTGTCCTTTATCATAAATCACGTAATTTAGATTTTAAATAAAAGTAGGAAAAACAAGTCATGACCTTACCTTTGATGAGGTACAAGTACATTGTTAATTCCTCCAAGCTTTGCGTTTATCTTCAGGCAAAGGTTGGAAAGGGTTTGGGGTGAGGTCTTCACAACATTTTTGACCTGGACACACTGTGTGGCCATACCTAAAAGGGTATCTCCAACACGTTTCACTTCCGCTATAAAATAAGTTAATAAATTAATTCCCTTTAAAATGCTTAGTCACCTAACATGAGTAAAGGAAAAGTCCTAAACATTAACACTCACAGACTACACAGTGCTAGGTGCAGATCTCAGTGCCAGCACCTTTATCTACTAACACCCTCCAAGCAGCCTCCCCTGTCCTGCCTTGAGGGCAACTCTGGAAGCCAGCCCTCTTCCTTTATTCTTCCGGTGCTCCCTGCCACCACTTGCTTGGTCCCTTGAGGTTTCTTCTCCCTCAGAACTGGTCTGGTAAAAGAATTAATCTCCTGGCTCCTCCTTCCTCAGAGCACACACCAGCCCTTTGAATTTTACTTTTCTCTTTCTCGAAACATTACAGATAAATAGGAGGTTACAAAAGAAGCAAATAGAGGGTCACAGATGTTTGACAAAGCTTAAGGGCTGGCCTGCAGTCCTTATAGGCTTTATACGGAGGGTAACAAAGAGAAGAGCCCAGTGCCACTCTTAGCAGCAGATGCAAGCTAAGCACATCCTCTTCTAGAAGCAGTGCCTCCCCCACCCCAACTGCTCTCTCTTCTCCCCACTCTAGTATTCTTTCTGACAGAATATTCTACTTCTTCCAGTTCCCTGAATTATAGAAGGCCCACACAGCTTTTCCTATCTAGTCACCTTCTCCCTGCAGGCTGGGTAAGGTCTTAAAGCTGGTTGTATCCAGCTGCAGAGAGAAAAACATGGTGGTTACCAACCTTGTAAAGTGTCTGCTTTATGAAGTTGGGTCTTGGAATAGGGAGGATGCCCTTATATGGAGCAGAGCCCACTGTCTATCATGAATAGACACAAAACAGGAAAGGGTAATAAATCTTGGCCTGGATGTAGTTCAGGTGATAGAGTACTTCCCTACCATGTACAAAACCCTAGGTTCAGCACCAGTACCTCATAAATCAGGTGTAGAGGTTCATTCCTAGAATCCTAGGATTGGGAGGTGGAGGTACGGTTCAAAGTTCAAGGTCATTCTCTACCACAGAATGAGTTCAAGACCAGCCTAACCTACATAAGATCTTGCTCAACAAGAAAGAGAAAGAGGGCAGGAAGGGAGAGGTGGAAGAAAAGGAAGAAAGTGTTGCCGTGTCATGTCCCCCTGATCAAAGAACTCTAGCACTGAGCTGTCCCCTCCACACACACACCAACAGTCTCTGTGGCTTAGACCACTGAGAATGGAGAGCTGGGGCTGTGGCATCACTAACTTATCCTGTCAAACCTAGGACTTAAAATCATCCCTCATTCAACATTAAAAAGGTTCATACCATATACTGGTGTTTTTCCAGGCAAGATAACCACTATTAGCTGCAGGCCCACATACGTCATTTTCAGATGTTTAAACATGGGCTCCACACTGTCTGCACCTTGTGCATACTTGCAGAAACATGGCTGACCCTGGATGGGCATTCCGGCATCCTTGGAGATTTTACGAAGTTGGTCAGTGAAACTCCTGTTAAGATAGAACCAGTGCTTTCATTTTCATACGTAAACAAGCAAACAAAAAAATCTTTCAGCAGTTGCCAAAATTAGATTGGTAGTTGGACCACTGTAATCATAACAGAACAATTTGTATTAGCAAGCTACCAAATCATCAATCTGAATTTTTATTACTATTTTTTGTAGTACTGGAAATTAAGCCCAGAGCCTTAAATATGCTAAGCAAGCAGTCTATGATGGTTCAGCTGAGACTTAGGGACTAGAATAGCATTTATTATTTTTTAAGTTAATTTTTTAAATTTCATTTTGCATTCCAACACAGTTCTCCCTCCTACTCCTTTTCCTGCCCACTCCCCTCGCAAAGTAATTCAGAACTGAAAAAACAGAGGGTCATAGTTTTAGGTAACACATATTTTGCGAAGGCTGGTAAAGGAAAAGAGGTGAACTTGTATTCAACTGAGAACATGTGAATATGCTATCCTCAAGTTTTTAAGTTTAGAATTAGAAACAAACTTGTAACAGGTTTGATTCAAGAAATCAACATTAATTTTTTTTCATTTTGAAGTTTTAAATTTTGAATTTAAGAAAGTATTTCAATCTATGCCTAAATCAGGGTCTCACAATTTAGCTCTAGCTGGTCTGCAATTTGCTGGGTAGATCAGGTTAGCCTTAAACTCAAGAGTTCCACCTGCCTCTGCCTTCCCAGTGCTAGGATTAAAGATGTGTGCCACTATACCTAGCTGCAACATAATTTATTTTGTATATTTGCCAAAATCTTGCAGGATTCCTTTTTTTTCACCCCAGTTCTACTTTCTTGGTTTTCTTTACACTTCTCATTGATTTCATTACCCAGAAGGTGAATCTGTAAGAGGTGACACGATACTCTTTGACAGTTTTCCTGGAGCAAAACAAGCTCACTACTAAGTTATAATTGCCAAAAATGAACTAGCCTTTTTTTTTTTTTTTTGGTTTTTCAAGACAGGGTTTCTCTGTATTGTTTTGGAGGCTGTCCTGGAACTCACTGTGTAGACCAGGCTGGCCTCGAACTCACAGAGATCCGCCTGCCTCTGCCTCCCGAGTGCTGGGATTAAAGGCGTGTGCCACCAACGCCCGGCTGCAAGCCTTTTTTTTTTTTTAACCAGAAATACCAATGGAAACTCCTAAGAATTGAAGAATTTTCCAAATAGCATTGCTTCAGCCATTTGTCACACACAAATTTCTACTGAGTCAGATTCTCAAAGAATTCTAGAGTTTGCCATAGAGCACAGGGTCTCTTCTGTAGAGTCAGATGGCATCACCATGGGCGTCAGTGCCAGGGTACCCAGCACATTCACATAGAGATGGTATTTTATATCTAGAAGGGTTATTACTGAGCTGAGAATGGGATACTCACTTTAGTAAATCTTCCCTACATTGTTTCTGAGGCGCAAAACAAGCCACTGCCCAAACTTTAATTTCAATGCCAGCATAAAACTGCTTTCCTCGCATGTCCCAGACACCCTGGTTGGGTGTGGCTACTGTTTTATTCTTTAAAAAAACAAAAAAGAAACAAAAGAAAAGAGAAAAGATATTACAATCTAAGACCATTTTTATACTGAAGAGGGAACAAACAAAACTTTATTTGGTACAGTCAGAATACAGAAGATTATAATGAGCACAACTTCGGGTAAATTCAAATTTGTGATTTGTGTCTTTTTTTTTTTTTCCTTTTTCCTTGTTTTGAATGGCATGGAAGAAGCTTACCCGGCCTCCGTACTGCAGCATCGGAGCTGGAAGCACCCTGCCTGTGAGCTCCGTCATCTCATTATGGACAACAATCCCAAATTCCTTCAGGTATGGGTCAGGCCCACCCACCATGCTGTTACTCTTCACCTAAGGAATGGGAAAACCTGCATATAAAACCAAACAAGAACTGTGCCCTCAGGATTGTTGATTCTGAAGACCACATCTTACTGACCAGTCTACTGATTTCTTCCTGTCTATCAGGAGCAGATCTTGCTGTGGCTTTTATCATTGTGGATGTCTGATTGTCTGTGAGCTTCTTTATACATCTCTGTCCTGCCACTATATTACAGACCTGCAAGGAGACAAAGAGAAGCTAGGTTTTATAGAAATGGACTTCTATACCCGAAGTCTTTGCCTATTTCCAGGGGAAAAATAGTTATAAAGTTCTATACACAAAATACTTCAAAAAGACTAAATTCTACCTCTAGTTTAAAACACTTTTTGTTTGTTTTTCAAGACAGGTTCTATGTAGCCCTAGTCATCCTGGAACTCACTTTGTAGACCAAGTTGATCTCAAACTCCTGCCTCTGCCTCCCCAGTGCTACGATTAAAGGCATGAACACTTTTTTTTTTAAAGAAAAATTAATTCAGGAGATTGGCTCATTTTGCTTACCTCAAGTGGCAAGTATGTATGCTTTTGCTCTTGTCCCACTTGAAGACAGGGAAGATGGGGGTACTTCAGCTGCAGACTGTACTTTTGCTTAAAATACTGAGCTACTGTACATTCCATAGCTTGACCATTTTCTAGCTGTAAAGGAAAGCTAGAGGAAAGAAAGTTTATTAAGAGCTTTTACTTTATTTTTAACAAGCAAGCAAACATCTTCTGTGTTGATTAGTCACTTAAGAAACAAAGGCTGAGGATGTAGCTCAGTGGGCAGAAAACTTGTCTGATTTCCAGTACTACATTAAAAAAAATAATAATAATTCCATCATTTAGGAGATGGAGGAAGGAGAATCAGGAGTTCAAGGTCATCCTCATATACATAGGAAGTTTGAGGCCAGCCTGGGCTATATAAGATTCTCAAAAAGGAGTTGGGAGAGGCAGCAAGATGGATGGCTCATTAGGTCAAGATACTTGCTACCAAGTCTGACAACCTAGTTCAATTCCTGAGACCTATGTGACGGAAGAACTCCAGTAAACTGTTCCCTGACTTTCACATGAGGAGACACACACACACACACACACACACACACACACACACAGAGAGAGAGAGAGAGAGAGAGAGAGAGAGAGAGAGAGAGAGAGAGAGAGAGAGAGAGAATGCATGCACACAAGAATAAGTAAATTGATGGGGGAAGTCCTGTGTATATGTCAATAAAGCACTGTTGGCCAATAGGAAACCAAGAAAGGTGGGACTAGGAGTCCAGGAGGACTCTGGGAAGGAGAAACGGAGGAAGTCAAGATGTAACGCCATGGGGTAGGAAACCCGGAACTATTCTCCAGTAAGAGAAATACTTAGATTAACAATTATGGGGTAATTACTTAAGTCAGAGCTAGCCAGTAAGAAACAAGCAAGGCCAACAGCTTCATAATTAATATAGCCTCCTGTATGTTTATTTGGGACTGATGCGGCTCTGGAACCAGGCTGGCGGGAAGGCTTCCCTTTACAGTAAATAAACTGTAAAAAAAAAAAAAAATGAACAAGGGGCACATGCCTTTAATCCTAGCACTCAGGAGGCAGAGGCAGGTGGATCTCTGTGAGTCTGAGACCAGCCTGGTCTACAAGAGCGAGTTCCAGGACAGCCTCCAAAGCCACAGAGAAACCCTGTCTTGGAAAAAAAAAAAAAAGGAACAACGGTCAGGGCTGGGGTACAGTGAATGTGCAGAATGCATAAAGCCTTTCATTCAATCCTCACCACCACCAAAAAAAAAAAAAAAAAAAAGAAAAAAAAAGGTCTGATTATTTTCAATTAAGTCATTTTAGCAATGTACCAAAACATAGAAATTTCAATGTTTGTTGAAGCTGAGCAAAAAAAATGCTAATACAAAATTTATTTATTTTTCCACAAAAGAAGATCTAGGTGTAGTGGCTCACACCTGAAACCTAGTACTCAAGAGTGTGAGGAAGGAGAACCACTTCAAGTTTGAGGCCAGACTGGATATATATATGTCCACCATGTGCACACCTGGTGCCTCAGAGGTCAGTAGAGGGTCACTGATCCCTTGGAACTAGAGTTATGGACAGCTGTGAGCTGCCATGTGTATGCTTGGAAGTGTATCCAGATCTTCTGCCATAATAACAAGTTCTAAGCACTGGGCCTACTCTACAGCCCATCTTGCTGGCTACTGAGATGAGTAAATTCAAATAAGCACGTGGAGTCATCCATATACTTTTCTTTGCTTAAGACAAACTTTTTCTTTTCTTTCTTTTCTTTCTTTTTTTCCGAGACAAGGTTTCTCTGTATTGTTTTGGAGGCTGTCCTGGAACTTGCTTTGTAGACCAGGCTGGCCTCGAACTCACAGAGATCCACCTGCCTCTGCCTCCTGAGTGCTGGGATTAAAGGCATGCACCACCAACGCCTGGCTAAGACAAACTTTTTCTAAATGACCAGAGTATAGTTATTTTTAGACCTCCAAGTTTTCAGATCCCTAAGCCAGGGCAAATTATGCAGTTTGGAGGTGACAAGACTACACATACAAATTGGGGAGATGGGTGAAACAGTATGAAAACCTCACTTTAGAAGCCAAATATCATGAGTTCAACCCTGAGATCATACAGTAGAAATAGAGAACAAACTCTTAAAAGTTTCCTCTAACTTTCACACATATACTATGGCATACTGGTGTGTGTGTGTGTGTGTGTGAGAGAGAGAGAGAGAGAGAGAGAGAGAGAGAGAGAGAGACAAGTTTAATGATCCTGATTACAAGAATGAATCTGCCATATATAGTAATTTTATAGGCACTTCCAAACAGACTGGAGACAGGACACACAATAATTGGGAGTAACATCAAGCTATAAAATAAGAGACAACTGCACAAATATGCAAAGCAGTATTTGTCTTCCCACAGGAGTCTGTATGATGGCTAGACTGAGTCATCAAGTACTGAGAATTATAACAGTATAATAATTTATGCTAATTGTAATAAATGACAATTGTATTCTTTTAAAAATTCTGTTTTGTTTGTATATACATGTATGCAGTGTGTGTGTACATGTGTGTGTGCATGGATATCAGGGATCAACATCAAGTATCTTCTATCATTCTTACTCTTTTGAGACAGAGTCTCTCACTGAACCTAAATTGCACCTACTGATTAGGCTGACTGACCAGAAAGTTCTGGAGATCTTCCATCTCTCTCCACGGGCACTGGGATGACAGATGTTCACAACCATGCCATGCTTTTATGTAGGCAATAGAGATCCAAACTCAGGTATTCATACCTATACTGTAGGTACTGTAAGCATTGACCATCTCCCCAGCCTCTGGTGATTAAATGCAGGTTGGTCTATGTTTAATATACTTGGTTCAAAAGGTAAACCAAACAACTGTTCAACAAATATCTAAAATATTTTAAGGCTTTTGTGGTAAGTGACAATTCCTGTGATTCCCCAACCACACTACTGTGTAGTCTTTGCAAGTGACATTCAGTAGCTTCCTCAAGTATCAAATTGCTACCATATTTTATTGTTATCTTGGATTTCTTCTGATGTTTTTTCTGTGATTTTGAGATTTTTCACTTTTTGAGACAGGGTCTCTTGGGATGGCTCAGGCTGGCCTTGAACTCACAGCAATTCTCCTGCCTCAATCTCCCAAGTACTGAGATTACAGGTACAAACCATCATTTATGGCTACCATATTATTTTAGATGTGAACAGCATACGTTTGATGGCTGGCTGGTCGTCTTGTCACATTACAAACTCGGTATTTTCGTTTCATCTGTCCACAATGAGTCACTTCAACTTTGAGACCTGAAGAATAAAAAAAATAGCTAGAATACCAGTTTTAATCAAAATCATAGTGACAAAATCAAATTCAAATGTTTGTCCTCAAAAAGTCAGGAGGCAGAGGCTGGCAGATCTCTGAGTTAGAGGTCAGCCTGATCTATAGAGTGAGTTCTAGGCCAGGCAGAGCAACAAAGTGAGACTCTGTTTCAAAAAAGCAAACAAAAAGGCAAGGAGCACATTACTTTGGAAAGAATTCTCATTCTCTCTTTACCTACTGCAGATAACAAAGATTTCTCCACATACACACAAAGTCAGTAACTTAATACAGGGTAAAAACTGCAAGAATGTGGAGACAATTTTATCATATAAAGGCAAAAAGATGTATGATATTCAACCAATTTTTGCTTTTGAGACAGAGTCTCTCTACATAGTTCAGAATAGTCTTTTTCTTTTTCTTTTTTTGGTTTTTTGAAAAAGGGTTTCTCTGTATTGTTTTGGAGGCTGTCCTGGAACTCGCTCTGTAGACCAAGCTGGCCTGGAACTCCCAGAGATCCGCCTGCCTCTGCCTCCTGAGTGCTGGAATTAAAGGCATGCGCCACCAACACCCAGCCAAATTAGTCTTGAAATTGTAATTTTTTAAAGATTTATTTATTATGCATGCTCTGCATGTCTGTAGGACAGAAGAGGGCACCAGATCTCATTACAGATGGTTGTGAGCCACCATGTGGTTGCTGGGAATTGAACTTAGGACCTTTGGTGAGCCATCTCTCCAGCCCCTTGAAATTGTAATCTTACTGCCACAGTTTCCTGACTGCTGAGATTACAGGCATGCAATGCCATGCCTGACTATATAACTGGATTTATTAGTTCATTCAATAAATATTTATAAGCATCAGTATGTTCTGCTGTCTTTTTTCAAGTCTAAATGTATACTGAGATTCTGTGGCTAACATGGCTAAAGAACTTACCCAAAACTGGGCTGAGTGGCACTTGTCTTTAATCTCAGCCTTCAGGAGGCAGAGGCAGGTGGATCTCTGTGAGTTCAAGGCCAGCCTGGACTACAGAGCAAGTTCCAGGACAGCCAGGGGGATGTTACACAGAGAAACCCTGTCTTGAAAAACCATTAAAAAAAAAAAAAAACTTATCCAAAGACCCACAGCTAGGAAGAGAACCCAGGTGTGCCTCGCTCAAGCTCAGATCACTTGCGCTGTGTTGCACTCACTCCAAGATGACATTAGCATAAATACCTACCTCTAATTTCTTTGGTAAACTTGACACGCTGGGAGTCTGTTAGAGGTTTCGTCTGTTCATTGATGTTCTGAATGTCTAAAACCTCACACATGAACTCAATGATAGGCTGGGCCCGGTAGAAAGCAGTTGCGGATACTAACCAACACAGAAAAGGATACTTAGCATCAAGGAAAAGAAGAGGGTCCAAATCAATCAAACAGAGTTCTAACTCACCATCAATGTTGAGCATCATATTCCACATGGCAGGTCGCACAGACTGATGGAAGCCGAACCAGACCTCTCTGCCGCCTCCCAGAGGGTGGTAATAGCCTTCAGGAGGTGAGAAAAAAGAACGGCCCACCGGAGTATACCTGAAGAGACAAGGGTTTGAATACTTCATGCAAAGCATTTTGAGGTCAGTCAAGTTTGAACTGTGACTTATGTCAGAACCTTTGTATAACTAAGTGCAATCTGTCAAAAAGCCTGACATTTGTGGAAAGGGATCCAAAGAAAGGTACTAACCTCATAGAGGGGAGATGCCTTGTAATAACATCAAGTGCTTGTACTGAGTCATCTGGGACTTCATTCAGGTGCCCAGCTAAAGCTTCTAAAAGCAACTGAAGGCTCACAACTGACACCCATTGCACAGACACTTTGAAAGTTTGGTCTTTACCCTCACCTGGGAGGGTCACCTCCATGTCAACCTAGGGAAAAATACATAGAAACATGTTTATAAAGGTTGTGGGAAAAACCCCAGGAATATTCCATTATGGCTTATGCATAATGAATATCTTAACACTTTTTATAATTGTATACCATTGGGAGCAATGTAATTGTCTATAAAAGAATAATGTAATAAAAAATATTATACAATAATTAAAAATAAGGGACCATAGGGATGGAGTAGTAGGTAAATACTGTTACCACCAAGCCTAAAAACCTGAGTTTGATTTTGGGGCCCCATATGGTAGAAGGAGAGACCCAACTCCTACAAGTTGTCTTCTAACCTCCATATGCACACCACAGCAGGCATGGACTCACCATACACCCATGCATACATGCACACAAATAAGTAAATAAATGAAAATTTAAAAATAAATAAGGAAGATACTACAATGTGGGTGAAACTTGCAAACATTATGCTAAGTGAAATAAACTTGACATGGAAGAACAAGTATGACATAGAAAGACAAGGTGACAGATGCACAACAACGTAAATGCCCTTTAAAAAATGGGTTGTTATTCATGCCTATAAAGCCAGCACTCAGGAGGCTGATGTGGGAGGACTATAGACAAGACTGAGCCATATCTCAAAAAAGTTTTGTCTTGAGTTAGAAAATATAGTAAGGTATATTTAATTGTATATAAATGGAAACAACACCTAGACATACTGTTTAAAAAAAAGTGTCAGGCGTTGGTGGTGCACGCCTTTAATCCCAGTACTCGGGAGGCAGAGGCAGGTGGATCTCTGGGAGTTTGAGGCCAGCCTGGTCTACAGAGTGAGTTCCAGGACAGCCTCCAAAGCAATATAGAGAAACCCTGTCTCGAAAAACCAAAAAAAATTAAAAAAAGAAAAGAAAGAAAGAAATCACAGGGTGATATGCAAAAAATAAGCATTTACATAAACATATATGTAAGAAGATAACACCCACAAAATATTTAAAGTGACACATAGCAATATGGGACCTTAACAAGGAAAATGGAATTGAAAGGTACAAACCGCAGGAACATCAAAAAGTCATAGTTTTTGTGGATTGCCTAATAAGTCTAAAAGGTACATGCATTCATATATTACTTATAAATTTGACTTAAATAAATGAAAATGTTTGTGGTTCTAAGAATTAAGTTCAGAGCCTTGTGGATGTTAGGTGAGTGTCATTCCACCTTTTAGAATTTTATTTTATGTGTATGGTGTTTTGCCTGGACATACGTATATGTAGCACATACATGCCTGATGCCCAAGGAAATAGGAAGAAGGTATTGGTTTTCCTGGAACTGGAATTACAAATGGTTATGAGCCAGCAGCACATAGGTGCTTGGAATTGAACCTGGATTCGTTGCAAAAGCAACAAGTGTTCTTAACTACTGAGCCAGCTCTCCAACCTTACCTTTTTAAATTTAAAGCTACTTTTAAAAGCCAATTTTTAGAATATTTACTTCCTTGTCTATTTTTGTGTATAAGTACATGTTCCCATGGAAGCCAAAAAGAAAGATAGACTTCCTGGAGCTGAATTAACAGCAGCTGTGCTGCTTGGTGTTAATCCTGGGAACCAACCTTAAACCTTAGAAATAGCAGTAAATGCTCTTAACTGCTGAGCCATCTCTTCAGTACCTCTTACAAATGTTTTATCATGTCTATTTACTCATTCGTTTATGTGTGTACATGTTTGTAGGTTAGTATGTGGTATGGCACATGTGTGGAGGTTAGAGGACAACCTGTGGAAGGCTGTTCTCTCCTTCCACCCTATAGTTCCCTGGGACTGAATCCAGGTTATCTGGCTTAAATTACACCCACCAAGCCATTCCAGCACCTCTAATATTAAAATACTAGAGCTTACAATATCCTATAACTCTAGCTCCAGGAAAGTTGATGCCCTCTTCTGACTTCTGTGGACACCACATGTACATGTGCACAAGCTTCCATACTGCCATGCACATAAATGTAATAAAAATTATATATATATTTGAGACAGAGTTTCTCTGTATAACAGCCCTTGCTGTCCTGGAACTCATTTTATAGACCAGGCTGGCCTCGAACTCACAGAGATTCACCTGCCTCTGTCTCCCAAGTGCTGAAATTAAAAGTGTGTGCCGCCACCACCTAGAAAAGCATACCATTTTTAAAAATACTTTTTTTTCCCCTCTTTATTTTTGGTTTGTTTGTTTTTAACTAAGAGACGCTATGCAGCCCTGGCTGGCCTGGAACTTGCTAGGTAGACCACACTAGCTTGGAATTCACAGAGCTATACCTGCCTTTGTCTCCTGAGTGCTAGGATTAAAAATGTGTAACACCAGCCGGGCGGTGGTGGCGCACGCCTTTAATCCCAGCACTCGGGAGGCAGAGGCAGGCGGATCTCTGTGAGTTCGAGGCCAGGCTGGACCTACAGCCTCCAAAACAATACAGAGAAACCCTGTCTCGTAAAAACAAAAATCAAAACAAAAAATATGTAACACCATATTTGGCACTTTTTTGAATATTAAAATAAATGTTTAAGAAAGTACTGTGGTATTATTTTCATAAATGAAGTCATAAAAATCCCACTGTTATATTTAGGCAGAACTTTGTTAAAGTACTTGGTTAATGTGAAAAATGTGGACTATCTGTAAAGATGACAAAAATCAGTGTAAGCCTAGTACTCCTCTCATCTTTAATCAATTTAACTAAGAGGCAATAATGTGGAAAGTGCAATCAATCCATCATCACAATGAAAAAACTCTAAGAACTGAGTGAAGGAGGCTGTGAGTGTTGCTCAGCGTTAGAGCAACCACCCAGCAGCTGGAGATCAAGCTGCGTGTGAAGCCCCCAGTTCAGGTCTCAGAAGAAGAGGAAGAACAGGAGGAGGAGGAAGCTGGCAAATGGCTCAGACAAGCCTGACAACTGGAATTCAGTCTCTTGAAAGCCACATGGGAGATGGAAAGAACCAACTCACACGCACTGTGGCATGCACATGCTTCCATACAATCAATTACTAAAGCAATAAAAGAACTGATGAGTGACCAGAAAGCAAAGTATTCAGTCATCTGCAGTTACTATTACATAACCTATAGTTCCTTGCTGTTAACACTTACTCTATCCCGTCCAATTGGCAGTGGATGTGCTGTGTACATGTTTCTTTTGCCATCATAGCCAGGCTGCCGATCCCCAAATATTTGCATCTTGAAGTGTCGTACCATAGTGTCTACCACCTCCCTTAATAGTAATGGAGACAGTGGCAGTTAGCTTTGAGAAGTCATCAGCAGCAGAAAGCAAAGTGTCACCATTCCTTCATCTAAACTCTGTGAGGGGCCACTACAAAAAGGTTAAAGTCACAAAGCTGACTCAAGTAATGAAAAAAAATAATGTAAGCAAAAACAAGTGAGCACATAGGACATACTGTGACCAACACTGGAAGGCGCAGGTAGGAGATTCAGAGTTCAGAGTCATCCTTGGCTAAATACTGTGTTTGAGACCAGCTTGAACTGCATGATACCTGGTCTCCAAAAAAATAAAAAAATAAAGGTGGACCAATGAAATGGTTCAGCAGATTAAAGGTGCCTGCTACCAATCCTAGAACCTGCATGGCAGAAGAAAACCATATAGAAATAAATTAACTATAGCTTTATAAGAATAATCTATGCTGGGCAGTGGTGGCACACACCTTTAATCCCAGCACTTGGGAGGTAGAGGCAGGCGGATCTCTGTGAGTTTGAGACCAGCCTGGTCTACAAAAGCTAGTTCCAGGACAGGCTCCAAAAGCAAAACAGAGAAACCCTGTCTCGAAAAAACAAGCAAACGGGGGCTGGAGAGATGGCTCAGAGGTTAAGAGCACTTCCAGAGGTCCTGAAAGTGCTGCTCTTCTAGAGGTCCTGAGGTCAATTCCCAGCAAGCACATGCTGGTGACTCACAGCTGTCTGTAATGATCTGGTGCCCTCTTCTGGCCCGAAGGCATACCATATGCATAATAAATAAATCTTGAAAAAGAAAAAACAAACAAAGCTAATTTGAGAATTATATATTATTTCCATATTAGAAAAGGACAAGTTTTTCCTTTTATTATTATTGTTTTTTATTATTTTCTTTGAAACAGGGTCTCATGTAGGCTAGACTGGTTTTGAACTCCTGATATTAAGTACGGAGATGACAAATCTACACCACCATACCTGGTTTACATAGTCTTGGAGATCAATCCTAGGGCTTTGTGGATTGTGGTAGGCATTCTACTACTGAGCTACAGTTCTGGCCCCCATCCGTGCTTTATTTTCATTGCACTTATTACCATCTAATAAATGATGTTTTATTTGCTGACTTACCAAGTTTTGATCATTAGAATATGTAAACGTCCCAAAGACACAAGCATCTCCTCCCCAGTCTAGAGGGTCCTTCCCTCTCCTGCACCTATTTTGTTATGAAGTCACGGGAAGACTCCAGCAGTGTGCTCCTGTGCATCAGTTCTCAGTGTGCACCTCTGTGTGGAGGCAGTGCAATGTCAGCTGAACACAGACACTTTCTCTTTGACGTCCTTTTGTTTTGTTTTGTTTTGTTTTGTTTTTTTGGTTTTTTGAGACAGGGTTTCTCTGTGGCTTTGGAGGCTGTCCTGGAACTCGCTCTGTAGACCAGGCTGGCCTCGAACTCACAGAGATCCGCTTGCCTCTGCCACCTGAGTGCTGGGATTAAAGGCATGCGCCACCACCACCCGGCCGACTTCCTTCTTTTTTTAATTGTATTATTTCATGATTTTTCGGGAACTTAATATGTTCAGTAAGCTCATTCTCTTGGAAAGAATCTTGTCCTTCATTTGTTTGCATTCTGTTACCCAGCAACGTCAAGAGCATTCTGGGTAACAGCGGAGACTTTTTTGACTTGCACGGATGGTAATACTTGTGTTTGTTTTTGGACAGCACCCATTCCCCTGATGCCAACAATTTCACCTTTCCTATGTATTCATTCATATATGGCCAAAGGAACAACTCGGAACAACTCTATGTTTTCTAAAAGACCTAGAAATGGCATGCCATTCCTCTTTCCCTTTGTGTTCATCATTCTGCTAAGTTATTGAAAGATTGTAATTCCAGCTGAAAGGCAAGAATTCTCTGCTACAGAACCTCACAGAATAATACCTGTTACACAGTGAACACTCAAACCAGTTTGTGTTGAACCAGGTATGGTGGCCTACACCTACAACCCCAGTCCTCAAGGAGTGGTATGCTCACTTACTATATGGATCTCATTCAGCATCACAGCTTTACCAGCAATACTCATGACTCAAATGCTTATTTCCAGCTCACACCTCCCCTGAATCCAATTTCACATATTCTTACATCTAATAAATGTCATGACCTTAGCATGTTTAGCATATCCTGGGACTGAAAAGGTGACTAAGCAGTTAAGAGTAAAGATTTGGTTCCCAGCACCCATATTGGGCAGCTCACAACTCCCCATATAGCTAACATCAAAGGAATCTGACACCTTTTTCTGGTCTTCCTGGATAAACACACACACACACACACACACACACACACACACACACACACACACACACACACACAGAGATATTTAAAACATTTGTCCTCAGAGAGCTAAGGTTGGAAGATCTGAATTCAAAGACACTGTAAACAAATGCTAGTCTGGACTATATATCAAGACCCTGTCACAAAGAACAAACAAATATTGAGTATGAGGTAATTCTTACATCATTACACTCTCATGTACAAAGGATAAAATCTGAATCTCTCGATAGTTCTGCTTCCCATATACTAACACCATCTAGTGTTACAAACTTGTGGTGCCTTTGATAGATGATGACCAATGACATATTCACTTTATCAAACAATATGTACTTATTAATAGATCAATGATATATCCAGCAGTGTTGCCAAAACAACCAGAGGATCCCATCATACACTTACTACTAGGGTAAAATAATGCCTACCTGCTGACATATTTCAGAAAGCAATGATACATGATAAATTATGTGAATTTTATATACTTAAATAAACAGATATCTACTCTTCCTAATCCTTACCTGTTGACTCTACGAGGCCGTTTTTCTGGTTTAATATCCACATCATAGTGATACACATCAATTTTAGGGATCTGAACCTGAAAATGATTGGCTAACAGTCGAATTGGCTTCCCAACAGTTCCAAGGCCAGGACGCCGAGGTGGCTGGAAAAGGCTGACTGGAGGTCCTAAGAGATTGAAAGACATATACTGTGTTATTTGGTAATGAGGAGAATATTCTCTTCATCATAATGGCAGTTACAATTATTGAGATCCTATTCATCACTGAACATGTTCTGATACAAAAATCTGGGATCTCTGGGGCTGGAGAGATGGCTCAGAGGTTAAGAGCACTGGCTGCTCTTCCAGAGGATTTGGGTTCAGTTCCCAGCACCTACATGGCAGTTCCCAGCAATTTGTAACTGCAGTTATAGAGAATACAATGCCCTCTTCAGGGCTTCATGGGCACCAAACACACATATGGTACAAACCTGCAGGTAAAACACTCACACACATAATTTTCTTTAAGTCAAGGTATTGAATATACTAAACTTATCTAGATTCTAGGTAGTTAGCCATATTGCTATTATTTTTAATAAAAGTGACATCAAAGTTAAACAGTTATGATTTATTCATCTCATACAGAGGTTTACAAACTTATACACATTTCAAAAATAACATGTGGCCAGGCATGGTCACATGGTGCTACACACCTATAATCCTAGCACCCAAAATGCTAAAGGAAGAAAATTAAGAGCTCAAAGGCAGAGCCCTGTCTCAAAAAATAATCATAGGTGCCAGTGAGACAGCTCAGTAAATAAAGATTCTGCTGCCAAGCTTGACAACTTTGTTTTGATACCTAGGACCAACATGGTCAAAAGAAGGAACTAACTCTATTTGCATAATAGAGGTCCTGAATTCAATTTCCAGCAACCACATGGTGGCTCACAACCATCTATAAAGAGATCTGGTGCCCTCTTCTGGTGTGCAGGCATACAGGTAGGTAGAACACTATATACATAATAAATAAATCTTTTAAAAAAACAATTAGGGAGCTGGAGAGATAGCATAGCCATTAAGAGCATTGACTGCTCTTCTAGGGCACTTAGATTTGATTCCCAGAATTCACATGGCAGCTCACAAACATCTGTAACTCTAATTCAAGGTGATCTGATGCCCTCTTCTGGCCAGTGTGGGCACCAGGCATGCACATGGTGCACAGACATACACGGAGGCAAGACACTTATACAAATAAAATAAAATTAATAAAATTTTAAAAATAACAATAATAAAAAAATAAAACCAGGAGATGGTGCACACCTTTAATTCTGGCACTTAGCAGGCCAGAGGCAGCACTTAGAGGCAGAAGGATCTCTGTGAGTTTCAGGACAGCCTGGTCTACATAGTGAGTTCTAGGCCAGCCAGAGCTACACAGTGAGGCTCTGTCTCAAGAAATAAACAAATTAAACAAAAATAGACAGGAAACCATTATGTGGCTCAGTGGTAGAGCACTGGGTTTAAACAAAACAAACAAACAAAAACTAGAGATGTAACTCAGTGATGTACTGATTAGTTGTAGAAGGCTCAAGTTCAACCCCTACCACCACATAAAATAAATAGAAACAATCTCTAAGCTCTAGTACCATTAAGGGTCCTTGAAGTTGGAGAACAGTCATTAATTCCCTACAAATAGCCCTGTATTGTTATATGCCATACAATCGGGAGATTAAACAGCAGCTACATTTATCAATTCACTTTTTTAAAGGATCAAACTGAAACAATACCAACTATGATATACCTTCTAATTTATATCTGATATTCTTGGAAATATGACAACCTAGCTAGGTGTGGGACACACATCTATAATCCTAACACTCAAGAGAATAAGGCAGGACTGTCATAAATTCGAGGGTAGAGAGTGAGTACCAGCCATGTCTGGGCTCCAGAGTGGCCTCTCAAAATAAAAATTAAAAACCGAAACAAGGTCTGGAAAGATAGCTCAGTAGTTAAGGGCACTGGCTGCTTTTTGACAGGACCCGTGTTCAAGTCTCAACATCTATATGGCAGCTCACAACTGTCTGTAACTCCAGTTCCAAGGAATCGGGCACCCTCACACAGACATATATGCAGGCAAAACACCAATGCGCATAAAATAATAAATAGATCACTAAAATGTGAAAACAAACAAGAACGTGATTGATAGCCAGACAGTGGTGGCACACACCTTTAATCCCAGCACTCAGGAGGCAGAGGCAGGAGGATCTCTGAGTTTGAGGTCAGCCTGGTCTACAGAGAAAGTTTCAGGGACAGTCAGGGCTAAACGGAGAAACCCTGTCTCAAAAAAACAAAAACAAAAACAAAAAACAAAAGAATCTGATTCATTTGTTCTGTACCTAATCAACATTATGCACTCAATATTGGAGCCCCAGCCCTCAAAATCAGTGGTTCTTGACCTGAACATTAGGCAGCTATTAGAGACACTGTAGTCTGCCACAACCAGGGGTGCTACTAACATCTATGAACAGGACTCATCCAGTTCAAAATACCAATAGTACCCAGGTTGAAAAGCTCTCCAGTCATGACTCACAAGATTGCATGCCTGTATTCCCATTACTCAGGAAGAAGCAGGAAGGTTGAAGATTTGAGGACAGTCTATTCTATGTAGAAGACCCTGTCTCAAAAAATTATATATATACATATATATATATTATATAAACATATATATACACATACGCACACACACACGTGTGTGTGTGTGTGTGTGTGCACATGTGCATGTGTTATATGTTACATGCCCATGTGAGCAAGCATGGAGACCAGAGGTCAACATCAGGTATTTTCATCTATAATCTCCACCTTACTTTTTAAAGATATGGCTTTTTAAAAAATTTTTATGTGTATGAGTATTTTGCCTGCATGTGTGTATGTATACCACATGCCTGCCCGATGCCTATGGACATCAGAAATGGCCATCAGACCCTTTGGAACTAGAGTTACAGATAGTTGTGAGCTACCATGTGTGTGCTGGAAACCAAGCTGGGTCCTCTACAATGGCAACAAGTTCTCTTAACCACAGAGCCATCTCTCTAGCTCCCCCATCTTACTTACTGGATAGCCAACAGTACTGCTCCTTCAGCCTCTGCCATGTGCTTTTCACATAGGTGCTGGGAACCCAAACTCAGGGGCTCAAGCTGCACTGCCCACTAAACCATCTCGCCAGCCCCACAAAATATATTACCATACTTAATTCTCTATAAAGTTATGGAATGAATAAACAAAATAAGTCATCATTTACTCAACTCATTTTGCCACAACTCTGTCTCCTTTCCCCTTCCTCTCTCCCTTTCTTCTTTCTTCCTTCTCCCTCTTGAGTCCTAGTCCCCCTCTCAAAACAGAACATCTATTAACCTTCATCGGGAAAGGATTTTGTAGACATTGGCAGCAGACACTTATCTAACCAATCTCCCTCTAATGAGAATATCAAGTGGACACTGGCCTAAGAAATAAGCATCTTTTCTATTATGAATAGGCACTGAGCAAAGTAGGTTGTGGTTACAATGGAAAGTTACAAGTTCTCTTACTGAAGTGACATTTCATTGAAAACAGACAATTCACTTAAAAGGAAAAGCTTTGAAATACTTGTCTGCTCTGTTCTAACGTCACTTAAGCAAATATCTTCATGAAATTTGTATTGACAAATCATCATATACTAATATAATAAAGTACTGAAAATCTCTTCATATTATTCAATTAATTGTTCATTCTCTTAAATTCAAAACTTCAAGATGCAATTTTCTGAGAAATATCCATCCCCTATATACACAAGACCTTGTGTGCAGGGTAGGACTTAGCTCAAGTATAAGAAATCACTTGTGGACTAGCAACATGGCACAGGAGGTAAAGGCACTGCCCGACTTGAGTTGATCCCTAAGACCACATGGTGAAAAGTGTGATGACCTAATTCATGTGTGTGCTAGCACATGCGCACGCGTGCACACACACACACACACACACACAATTTTAAAAAGGAGTAAGTTGTTAAATTGTCCTGTCTTCTATAGTAGACTCATAAATTCTTAAAAGAACTAGAATTCCTGTTCCCACAACACCTAACTCATCACCTAGCAAGCTGTATGAATTCAGTAAGCATGGAAGAGCATCATTAGTTCCAGGTAAAAGCAAAACAGAAACCTAAACTTCAATATGCAAAATGTGACAACTATTTTTCAATAAAGCAAAAGCACATAACATATGACAAGTATTATTGTGATGCACATAGGTCTATTCTGGGTGTGATAAGGCAATTACCAATCAACCAAATTAAATCATATAGACAAATCAGCCTTGCAAAAAATACACTTATACAATCAGCATAAAATTAGAAGGAATCTGTTTTTATAAGATAAATTTGGAAGCAGAAACTTTGATCAAATATGTTGCCTATGAATCTGATTTTTGTTTTGTTTTGTTTTGTTTTTGAGACAGGGTTTCTCTGTGGCTTTGGAGGCTGTCCTGGAACTCACTCTGTAGACCAGGCTGGTCTCGAACTCACAGAGATCCACCTGCCTCTGCCTCCCAAGTGCTGGGATTAAAGGCATGCGCCACCAACGCCCGGCCGAATCTGATTTTTAATAATGACTGGATCAAGGCCTCCCATTTCTTCTCCAGATTTCACAGGATTTTGGTTATCTGTATTTCTCTAAAGTACTTAATGGTAAAGGGATAGGCAGAGAGACTGAAGTAAAAGAGATTCAGTCAAAGACAGGGATTAAGTTCATTGGTTCAGGATGTCCCTACAGGTAGTAGAAGATGAGCCCTGGCCTGATTCTTAGTATCAAAAAAAAAAAAAAAAGAATAAAATATTTTATGCCCCCTTTTCTTTTTTTGAGATTTTTATCATATATATATATATATATATATGAATGTTTTTCCAGCACAGGGCATCAGATCTCCTTGGAAATAGGGTTAGAGACTATTGTTAGCTCTCATGTGGGTATGTGGGTGCTGGATATTGAACCCAGATCCTCTGGAAGAGTAGTCAGTGCTCTTCACCACTGAGCTATCTCTTTGGCCCATGTCACTTGTTTTTTTTTTTCTGTTTGTTTTTTGTTTTGACAAGAGAAAGGTTAGGTAAGTGTGTAACATGAATAATAAAAAAAAAACCGAGACTGATATTGGGGTTCAACCTAAAGATCAGGGAAGCAAAGCAGCCAGACACGAGTTAGCTCAGGCTGAAAGGGCTGATCCACACAAGAGCTCTTCACCAAGTCTCAATCTGCTGCCTCTCCTCAATATGACTGGAGAGTGAGTGTCTCATATTGGGAACTGGCTTCTGTCTTATGTACTTCCCTAATGTTAGGATTAAAGGTGTGAGCTATAATTCTCTTTTAGACCGACTCAGTGTTGTGTAGATCTGGGTAGCCTTGGATTTATAGAGATCTGTCTACCTCTTATTCCCGAGTCCTAGGATTAAAGGTGTGCACCACTACCTCCTAGCTTCTGGCTGCTAGGATTAAATGTGTGTATTGCCACTGCCTGATCTCTATAGCTTGAAGCTGACTTTGTTTTTCTGAGTCCTCAGTCAAACTTTTATAAATCATACATATCACTACATGAGTGACTACTTCTTTTAATAAGCTTAGATTCACTCAGAAATTATACTTTAAATATAATTGGGTAATATAATAATAGTTGGGTAAACTATTTAGTAAAACAATAAAGCATAGTGGCTAAGCATCAGGAACCAAAATACCTGGGTTTGGGTTTGTTTCTGGTTTTACCACTTCCTAACTATATTGCTTAACCTCTCTCTCTCTCTATCTCAGCTTCCTCTTCTATACAACACGGGTTCATGGCAATACCATCTGTCTCCCGATACTATAGTGAAGATTCCAGATGATGATGTCTGCAAAAGGCTTAACAAAGTGTTTTGTAACAGTTATGTATCCAATAAGTGTTAGCTATTATAATGACACCTGCATAAAGGTTATAGTTAATGCCCAGATATTCTGGTATTATATTGGTGTCATTCCTGCAACTTTTTGACAGTCCAAAAAATTATATTTTATGAAAACAAAACATTCATGATTTAACTCGGTATGGATGAGACCATCCTTAAAAAAAGAGGTATTAAAGTAGGAATGACACACCCCACACTCTAGTCCTCATTTCCCCAAGGAGCTCCGAGTCTTGAAGAAGTCATTCACCCTCTTTGAACCTCATTTTTTTCATCTGTAAAATGAGGATAGATTCCTATCTAGTCTACTTCCCAAAGGATCAACTGTGCTAATAAGGCTTTATTTGTTTGTTTGATTGATTGGTTGAGTTGTGAGGGTTTTTTGTTGTTGTTGTTATTTTTGTTTTTATAGGGTCTTAGTAGCCTAGGTTTTGGAATCACAGCAATCCCCCTACTTCAGCCTTCCAAGTGCTGGGATTACAATTATAAGCCACCTGGTCTGGCTCAAATGAACTCATAATTACTAAAGTATTTTCTTTTAAAAAAATTATTTATTTTTATGTGTGAGTGTTTTTCCTGCATGTATGTCTTTGTACCACAGACCTGCACTGCCCACAGTGGCTAGAAGAGGGTGTCGGGTATCCTGGAACCGGAGTTACACTTTCAAGCCACCATGTGTGTGCTGGGAATAGAACCCTGGTCCTCTGGAAGAGTACCCGGTACCCTTAACCCAGCCCAAACAAAAGTATTTTACAAGTTATAAAGCACTTCAAAGGGCTGGGGGACTGAAGTTCAGTGGTAGGGTAGTTGTCTATCATTCACAGGGCCCTGGGTTCCATCCCAAGCACAGCAAAAACAAGCAAATAAAAAAGAAAACAAGCAAGCAAATACAAAAATATGCAAAAAATTAAGGCTATAATCACTATAACAAAAATGAATGATAAAGGTCATTTAATTTTCTAAGTTACTGACAGAAGATGAATCTGGGTAGTGACAGACAGGTAAGCAGGACTAAGAGGCCTCCAGGGATTGTTCAAGTGTAGAAGATCAAAACACACAGCTGGGTGGTGGTGGTGGTGGTGGTGGTGGTGGTGGGGGTGGTGGGGGTGGGGGTGGGGGTGCACACCTTTAATCCCAGCACTTGGGAGACAGAGGCAGGGGGGATCTCTGTGAATTCCAGGCCAGCCTGGTCTACAGAGTGAGTTCTAGAACAGCCAGAGCTGTTATACAGATTAACCCTGTCTCGAAACGCCCCCTTAAAAACAAAACAAAAAAAACAGATTCAACACACTAGACCCAGGCATGCTCTAATGTAAGTAAAAGTACTTATTAAGTTCTAGAACATCCTGGAAGCAGCATCCCACAATGCCTATTGGCTCCTTCTCTTCTGAGTCCATGTTCAACAAGCAATTGTTATTACTCGTTATTAACTAGGTTTCCAAGGTAGTCAGGCACCAAAACAAGAGTCTGCTATACAGAAGACAGGAAAATTTACTCAGCAAAAAAGAGCTATTTAAAATTTTTACTTAATCATTGATGTCTTTTACGTAGGATTAATGAACATTTGTTCTCTACAAACTGAGCAGTTCTAAGAAAACTGCCAAGTCCTTGGACCTGCAAAAACTAAAATCAAACCAAAGAGGGTGGGTAGCTGGTTTCCTGGGCAGTTCCTTACATCCACCATGTTGATTCTTTTCATGACACTGAGCTTGTACACATAGTTACATAGTCTCTATGTCAGCTAATAACTGCAACAGTTGCTTCTATTATAAGTTACTCATGGGAAGGAAGAGAGAAACATTTGTTGAACATCTGTACTAGTCTTAACAAGGAGACTTCCCACAAACGTCTCCTTTCATTCTCACATCAGTCTTACAGAACACATTAGCTTTGTTTTATAGAAGAAGAAATTGAAATTCAATGGAATTAAGTTGTGGGGCAGTGGGGACAATACAAGTATGAAATTACTGTATTAGATTTGAATGGAATTTTTATATAGTCCTAAAGTCATGAGCATGCTTTTATCTAGAGGAACAGATTTGAAGTAACTAAGGATAACATGTTGAGGTTTATCAGATATAATAATATAACTAACCAATGCCACATTTTCTTTCCAATCCAAGCTGCCTTCCAACTCTTGCTCTTCTTTTCCTCAGCCTCCCAAATGCCGACATAAGAGTATGCAACACCACAGCAGGCTCAAATCTGTTTGTTTATAGTCAGGGTCTCAAGTAGCTAAGGCTAACCTCAAACTTACTGTGTAACTGAGGCTAGCCTTGAACTCCTGATTTTCCTGCTCCACCTCCCAACAGTTAGGACTATATGCCACCATGCCCAGGTAATCAATTCATTTTCAAAAGGCCTATGAAATTTGAATATGCAGACCTTTAATTTTTTTAAACTTTAAACAGCAACTGAAAGCCAGGCATTGGTGGCTCACGACTTTAATCCCAGCACTAGGGAGGCAGAGACAGATGGATCTCTGTGAGTTTGAGACCAGCCTGGTCTACCAAGCGAGTTCCAGGACAGCCTCCAAAGCCACAGAGAAACCCTGTCTCAAAAAAACAAACAAACAAAAACAAACAAAAAAACCCGGCAACTGAAAATAGAGTTTACTCAGTTTTGTAAACACATTCGAAGTAGACAAGCCTGCAGAGTTTCCAAATTCAAATTAAAAAAACTAATTTTCTATGCCCTTAAAAAGCATACAACGAAGTCCCACTATACGGACAAAGTTTGAATATGAAAATTAATGCCATCACTGCCCCTAAACCTTGCCCTACTTAGCCAAGTCAGTAGCAACCTGTTGGAGCTTGAGACAGGCGCACCAGGCTCCAATTGCATAGCATTCATACTAGTCTGGAATGCTTCCTTGGGTTGGGGCAGAAAGGAAGATAACCAGGGGCCATCCATACCAGCAACGAGTCACAGCTTTAAAACCTCTTTCTCCTTTGATCCTCAAAAACACTCATAACCCAATGAAAAGAGAATGCAGGACACTGATGTCTGTGTTGGGGAGTCCTGGCTGGCAATTCCCCTGTCGTCGTTCAAGGTCTAGTCCACAACACTGACAAACTGACAGATACCAAACTTCAGGGCCTTGGAAAAATAATGGGCATTTCCCCCTTTGGCTTGGCTTTCAGGGATTGGGGGTGAGTGGGTCTCTCTTCCTCATCCGAGGAACCAGATGCCAGTGTAAAAAACCGGGGGGGGATCCGGCCCCACACCAAGAACACCCTTGATAGAAGGTAGGAGGCCTCCCAGGTTTGGGCCAGGCCCCCGCGTGCACCAGACACACGGTCCCTTTTGAGGCCCCAGCTAACCTCACGGCGACCGTGGACAGAGCTCTCCTGAGATCGGGTCGGGTCGGGTCGGGTCGGCCCTACCTCAGGGGACTCGGGTCACCTCCTGAGCCTCCCTCCCTAAGACCTCCTCGAGAGGGGTCTAGAAGAGACCCAGAGTCTTCAGCTGGGGCGCGGTCCCCGCCCCCCTGGGACGAGGGCACGGGGCCCCTTCCTTCCCGGGGCCTGGCAACCCGCATCCGGGTCCGCGCGAGCGGCGGCGGGACAGCGACAGTCCCTTCCGCCGGTCCGTTCGCCCTCCCGAGCCCCGGGGCCGGCCCCGGCCTGAGCGCGCTCCTCACCGGGTCCCAGCGCCTCCATGGCGGCGACGGGGGTCGCCTCGCTCCGGTCCCCGGCGCCTCCCGCTCCGGGCCCCGCCGCCGCCGCCGCCGCCGCGTAACGCTTGCTCTCCGGAATATTGGCGCTGAAGCGGCGCCGCGAAGACGCGGGCGCTGGGCAGGGGGCGGCGGCGGCACCCGGCGGGGACACAGGGACCCGGCTCTCTCACGGCTCTTCCGGCCTCAGCGACAACAAAAACAATCCCCGCCGCCGCCGCCGCCAGCTGCAGCGGGAGCGGGAGGCGGCGCGCGCCCGCCGGGCGGGCGGGGAGGGGGCGCCGGGCGCGCGCACCCGGGGTCCCGGCCGGCAGGAGAAGGGGGCGTGCGCGGCCCCGCAACGCACGGGGTCCAGATTGCCGGCCGGGGGCAGGGGGCGGGGTGCGGCGGGGACGGGCGCGCGCCCTGAGAGCCGAGCCCAGAAGACGCCTCGGGCGCGCGCCCGCCCGCCCGCCGCGCGGCGGATCCTCCTCAGGCTGCGACGTTCCTCAGAGCCACTGGATGCTAGTTCTTGCTGACCCTCAGGCAACATTCCTCTTCTTCGTCCTGAGTCTCACCTCAGGCACCTCCCTGCGCTCCACCACAGATGGCCTCTTCGCTCTCACCCCTGGATACCTCAGGCATAGCCGCCCTTCATTCATTCCTTCACCCAACACCACATACACGTCCAGGCACCTGTGCAGGGAAAGCAGTTCTGTTCTGAGTCCCAGGACTGGTCAGCCTGTCACCAAGTCTTCTCAGCAGCCCACTCCTAGGCAGCCTGTACCCCAGCAGGTAGCCCCAGTGTCCTGAAACTTTCCAGTCAGGGCTTCCAGTTGAGACGGGACCATAGGGTGTCTAGTCATTGAATAGGGCAACGGAGGTCGACTAGTGTGAAAGGCACAACATCCTTGATCTAGTTTGCTAGAACCGCCACCGAATACCACAGACTGTAGCGTAATACAATGGAATTGCATTTTCTCTCAGTTCTGGAGACTGAAATTCTGATAGGATCAAGGCACCGGGTGTGGGGGGTTTCTTCTGAGATTTTTCTCCTTTGGTTGTAGATGTTTGTCTTCCTGTGTTATCACACGACCTTCCCTTTTTATCATTTATTTTTAGATTTATTTTTATTTTATGTGTATATGTGTTTTGCCTGCGTGTGTTTGTGCCTTGGGAAACTAGAAGGTCACATCGGATCCCCTGGAATTGGAGTTACAGATATAGGAATCGAACCTGGGGGATCTGCAAGAGTAACAAGCACCCTGAACCACTAAGCTATCTCTACAACCCCTAACCTCTTCTTATGAGGAAGATGACTCAGTGGGTAAAGGCACTTTAGAACCTGACAATCTGAGTTGGATTCCCAAGGCCGGCATTGTGGAAGGAGATAACTGACTTTTGAAAGTTGTCTTTTGACTTCCACATGAGCGTCATGGATACACCCCCATATAGATAGATAGATAGATAGATAGATAGATAGATAGATAGATAAGTAAATGTTTTAAATATAGGCTGACCTAGAACTTGCTGTGTCACAGAGGATGACTTCAAACTACTGATCCTTCTGCCTCCAATTCTCAAGTGCTGATGTTACAGGCATTTTTCAGCATGCTATCATGAAGCTCAAGTTTTATTTTAATTTTTTGGTTTTTAGAGACAGGGTTTCTCTGTTATTGTTTTGGAGGCTGTCCTGGAACTCACCCTGTAGACCAGGCTGGCCTCGAACTCACAGAGATCCGCCTGCCTCTGCCTTCCAAATGCTGGGATTAAGGCGTGAGCCACCAACACCTGGCTCAAGTTTTATTGTTTTTAAAAAAAGACTTTTGTTTTTAATTATGTGTATGTGTTTGAGTGTGGGTTTGTATATGTGACTGTAGGGCATACAGAGACCAGAAAAGTGCCCCTGGTTCTGTTGAGCTAGAGTGTTGTGGCATATTTAGTTAACTATGCAACAATGTATTGCATCTGTTTAACTATGTAAAATGCATTGTTGGTTTACTTTGCCTGCCTAAGGTACCTGGCTGGTCTAATAAAAAGCTTATCAGCCAATAGGGAGGGAGGAGGTATAAGTGGGACTTCCAGGGAGAGAGAGTAAGTAGGAGGAGAAGTTTAGGTTTGAAAAGGGAAAGAAAGAAAAAGAGATGCCAGGGAAACAACAAGGGTCAGCTAGACACTGGAGAAGCAGGAAAGTAGTAGGACATAGGAAAGATAGGTAAAAAGCCCTGGAGGCAAAACATAGATGAATAGAAACAGGTTAAAAGAGCTAGTGGGACAAGCCTACACTAAGGACGAGTATTCATAATTAATAATAAGTCTCCCAAAAAAATTCCAACTACACGAGAGTTAATTGATAAACACCAGTGCTGGGAACTGAACCTTGGTCCTCCAAAAGAATAGTATCCTTTTTTTTTTTCTTTTTCAAGACAGGGTTTCTCTGTGTAACTTTGGTTATCCTGGAAATCACTCTGTGGATCAGGCTGGTCTCAAACTCGGAGATCCATCTTTTCTGTCCCCTGAGCTAATATTAGCCACCCAGCTAATATGCACTCTTAAAGCTTGAATCATCTCTAGCAAACCTGACAGCTGACCTCCCCCACCTCACACATTTCCTCATACAATTTAAGCACTCTTGGTGGAGCTGGGGTTGAAGCTTAGTTGGAGAGTCCTTGTCTAGCATGCAGGAAGAAGCCCTGGGTTCAATCCCCAGCACTGCATGGTGGAATATGCCTGAAATCCTAGCACTTAGGAGGTGGAGGCAGGAGGATTAGAAATTCAAATTCATCCTCACCTGCACAGTGAGTAAAAGGCTAGTCTCAGCTACATGAGACCCTGTTTCAAAACAAAACTATTTAAACAATGCTGGCCTGGTTTGAGGCCGACTTTCCCAGCCCTACCTCCTAACAAAATCTCCCATTCTCTAGGCACTCTGACTATAGCTTGTTCTCTGCAATTAAAAAATAGTGTTATTGTCAGGCGTTGGTGGCGCACGCCTTTAATCCCAGCACTCGGGAGGCAGAGGCAGGCGGATCTCTGTAAGTTCGAGACCAGCCTGGACTACCAAGTGAGTTCCAGGACAGCCTCCAAAGCCACAGAGAAACCCTGTCTCGAAAAAAACAAACAAACAAAAAAAAGTGTTATCATTAACTCAGAAACTGGAGCATTAAATGTGCAGTTCCAGTCAGGACTGCAGATTGCACCCCCTCAAATAGCCCAACCCTGTTACTCAATGATCTCCATTCCATCCTCAGACTCACTCCCTCTGAGGCACCCTTTACCCTCTTCCTAGTAACCTTCCTACCGAAGTTCTGTAGTCAGTAAATACTCCTGGGCCTCAGTTCAGGAAGCCTACCCTCTGCTTCCTGCTGTAGCTGAGAAACCATGCCTCAATATCACTTCCCCTTCAGATCTCTCTGCCAGTGACTGCTCACCCCCACCCCCACCCCATACCTCACACACTTTCAGGAAGGGAATGAGTAAAGAATGTGCCTCTATTGCCAACACTTGAATTTTTTTTCCTATTAAGTTCTCCTGTCCCCTGATCACCACTCTAGGGCCTCCTTTGATGATGCAATCAACTCATCTCCAGGTCGGGCACCCCACTGCTCTATAAATTCTTGAGGGCAGCCTTAGACTTTATTCAGGTATTCAGATCTGTGTCTCTGTTTCTTAACCTTCCAGGTACCAAATGCCTTTAGGAGTGGAGCTTATGGGATGAAGGAATGAGTGAAAGAGAGAATGTATAAAGGGTGGGAGCTAGAAATGGCATAGTGTTGGAGTCAGAATCTCGATGAAACTCTCTGAGCAAAGTGCCAGATTCTCTGGGTACAGATTTTTTAAAAAAATCAGATGGGTCTGGCCTCTAGTTCCCATTCTATAACTTACTAACTTTAAGTACCTTGGGCATGTCCCCTCACCTGTGCAAGGCTATCTCAAAGAACAATGTAGCATAATAAATAAAAGACCCAGAGACAGATATTGGGGCTCAAGCTTCAAGCTGAAGATAAGAAAAGCAAAGCAGCCAGCCACTAGCTCTTGCCCCTACCTATGCACAGACCAAAGGGACCATCCTCAAACTATTCCCATCTTCACTACTCCTCAGATTCACTCAGACTGCAATACTCTCCTCAATGTAGCTAGGAGTAATCCTGAGATTGAATGCTTCTACCTTTTATACCTTTCAAATCCTGGGATTAAAGGTGTGAGCTGTGATGCTCTCTCTGGTAGCCCAGTATGGTCTTGGACTCAGAGATCCATCTGCCTTTCTCCTGAATTCTGGGTCTTAAGGTGTGTACCATCACCTCCTGATCTCTATAGCTTGAGGCCGGTTTTGCTTTCTGAATCCTCAGGCAAGCTTTAATAAATCATAAGTAATATATCACCACAGAGCAAGCTGAATCCTCTAAACCCAGTGTGTGCTCTTGTATGTCTAGAATTGAGTGAGCATGTGCCAAATAATTGTTACTTCCTGTTCCTCATCCTTCCTCAGCCAAAACCCATAATGCAGGCTCTCTGTTGAGCTGCTGGGATTGTCCCTTGAGATAACACTCTCAAGATCTCAGCTCACTGTAAGAGAGGAGAACAGAGCCCTCAGGGACTAAACATGTTTACACATTCTGTACCTGGGCCACTCAGAGGTACTTGGCTCACCCATCTGGAGGAGAGAGCTAGGTACAGTGCTCAGTTAAGGCTAATGAAAGAAACTGAACTATTTAACCTTGTCAGTGCCATCCCAGAGGCTACGCCAAAGGGATTCTCACGAGTGGAGGACTCTCCACCCTTGTGTCTGCCTCTGATCTGTTGGTACTGACTCCATAACATCCCTTCTGCAAGCATCTCTGAAAGCCCACTGCTTACACATCCTGAGGGAACTTCTTTGCAGTTGGTAAACTGCAGAAGGGAGGACTCTTGCTGTTCTTTAGCTGGGGGACCTCTCAGCTCAAACAAGTTAATTTAGTTTGTTTTTCGAGACAAAGTCTCTCTCTATTGCCCAGGCTGGCCTGGCTTCAGCCTCCAGAGTGATAGGATTGTAGACATGAACCACCATGTCCTGCTTTCAAACAAATACATAAGAAACTTAAGTAGAAATGAAAGTGGATCCATTCCAATGGACAGGGAACCACACTGTACTGGCTAGTTTTTGTCAATTGGATGCAAACTCGAGTTGCCTGGGAAGAGGGAGCCTCAATTAAGAAAATGCCCCTAACAGATCGGCCTGTGGGCATGTCATGGGTGTTTTCTTAGTTATTGAT